ATATATATATATATATATATATATATATATAATTATTTATTTAAAAATATGATTCCAAATCGCTACATAAGAGGTCTCATGTTTCAAAACAAGAGCCGAAAACTTCAATATAATCCTTTAAATTAAATTGAGTTGAAATTAAAAATGGGCTCCGTTCCATCTTCAAGCGAAATTTTTGTTGGAATAACGTATATCTGAAATTTACTTGTTTTAAAATTGAAATCAAAATCCCCATGGTAACAGCTAGGGTGAATTTTCTAAATTGGGTAGGCGAGTGTAGGGTGTTTATATTAAGTAGCGGTATAGAGATACTTTCAAGGTGTCAAGTCGGGGAAAGGTGGGGGTGTCAAAAATGAAACGGAAGATGTATTGGCCATCGTCTAGTTTGCTTGTCTATGGAGATTTATTTATTTATTTTATTTTATTTTATTTTATTATGAAAGGGAATTGTGCATATAAAAAAAAAAAAAAAAATTTCGTAACGTTTGTTTTTTGACGACTTCATAAAGGGTTATCTTTTATGTAAGGTATTAAAACTACTAATTTGGGCTATGGATTATGAAGTGTGTTATGTTGTATGCATGTTTGTAGTTAATTATTCCTACTATGAATCTGATGATTGGGCTATTTGTTAAACAAGTTATATAAATTTTTTTTTTTTTTATCTAATAATTCAAACCAAAAATCTGATGATGCCTACAAAAAACCGTTAACTCGTGTCTATTATTTAATAGATTATTATTATTTAGAAGTTTAATAATGTGCAATTTTTCATGGAGGCACAAAGGGCATGGGTCATCCCAAGCTTTACATATTCTAGCCTTGTCAATAATTTTCCATTTAACTTTTGGTGTCTTATTTGTTTCCTTCAGGTGCCAAAAATATTTTGATAGTGAAGTCTGGTTTCGTTTGTTTATATTATTAAAGGAGCACTTATGCTGCCTCCATCTATCTTTAAAATTATTCTTCGTGGACCCAATGTATATCATATTAGTGCAAGGGCTCTCTGTGGATGAAATAGTACATTGGTATACCACAGAATTAATACAACATTTATTTTCTAATGGGCAGTCTTCTTGCATAATTTTTCCCTTTTATCGTCTGATTTAAGTGAAGAGTTTTTATTAATACTGTTTTGGTATGGGGGTTTGTTCAAGATCTTATTATTGTGTTTTTTTATTATGCGTTCAAGATTATATATATATATATATATATATATATATATATATATATATATATATATATATATATATGGCGCGTGGCGTAGCGGTTAGAACGCTTTCTGACCATGAGACCCGGGTTCGAATCTCACCGTGGTCGATTTGTCAGGAAGTGGTAGTCTGGAGTGGGGACGATCCCAGCGTGCGTTACCTTTGTAAAGTGCCTGAAAACCATACCACGGGTTGATTCGAGCTTTGTGAGTGAAACTGGGTAGACGGAATCCTTGGGGGCTGTCGATAGTTTTGCTAGCACGAAGTCACAAGTCATCGTGACCGAGGGTTTGAATGTGCTGGTGTTGTTAAGATTGGTGATCATTCTAGATAACTCGCTCTCTCCCAGAAACTAAGGTATGCTTAGCTTAGTATAGTTGCAGTATAAACCACAGTTTGCCTCTGTGGGTGTTGAAAAAAGTCAATGCCTGAGCGAGCGTCTGCAATGGGAATTGGTTAGCCGTCCTAGTAGATGGGTATCCTCGAATACGAGTGGCCAGCTATTATATATATATATATATATATATATATATATATATATATATGTAAGTTCACACGCACGTATATATATATATATATATATATATATATATATATAATTCAAAAGTTGGCGTATTCTAAAAAATAGTCTGGGTTTAAATAACCTCCAAATGTTTGATAAGCCGTAGAAAACAAATCAATCAGTCATATATATATATATATATATATATATATATATATATATGCGTATGTGTGTGTGAACTTATATATATATATATATATATATATATATATATATATATATATATATTACATGTATATATATATATATATATATATATATTTACATGTATATATATATATATATATATATATATATATTACATGTATATATATATATATATATATGCACGTGAAACACAAATCAGTCATATATATATATATATATATATATATATATATATATATATATACATACATATACGTATGTATGCATGTATATATATATATATATATATGTGTGTGTGTGTGTGCGTGTGTGACTGACTTATTTGTTTTCTACGGTTTATCAAACATTTGGAGGTTATTTTAATCCAGGCAGTATTTTTCTTTTAGATTTGTTTCGAATATAATAATGATTTAGTGATATAAGTTTTACTAATTAACCCATAGCTGGGGGGTAGAAGAGGTAGATTCTTTTTACCTTTACCAAGGTTATTTTTGCGTAAATAAATATGACAAACCCAACTAGAATTGTAACTGTTCTTCAAGATCGAACCATTATCCATTATACTACCCACGCCTCCAAGCTTACAGCACCTGGTGTTCTCAAGCGCTCACCCATCTAGGTACTGACCAGGCTCGACGCTGCTTAACTTCGGTTGTCATCCGGGAATCGATGTTTTAACGTGATATGATGCAAGCTGATATTTGTATGTGTTGACTTTCACCAAGCTCTTCATAGTGTTATTCTCAAACCCGAGTGAAATATGAATATCTATGTCTTATATTCGTGAATTATTCAATACGATTTGTGCTAAAAGTTAATAAACAAATGTTTACTGTCTGTAACATACTCTTGAGGAAGTGCAGAGAACGCATCGGCAGAAATGTTCTATTAAAAGGAACAAAAATGAAGGTATTAATCTAAATCCTGATGGCAGTGAATGTTAGACTTATCTCCTCACACAAGAAGAGACTTGAAGCAACAAAATTCTGGTTCTACAGAAGGATACTGAGAATATCATGGAGTGAACATGTTAGCAACGACGAGGTTTTAGAGAAATTAGAAACAAAAAGAAAATATTTACTTATCATGAGGAAGAGACAGTGGAAATTTCTAGGGTACATATTGAGGAAAGAGGGCTTGGAAAATGTGACACTCCCAGGACATATTAAAAGTAAGAGAGACAGAGAATGCATTGCAGAACAAAGGTTAGGAGAGATAACCAAAAGAGAAGATTTATTAAGAGCTATAAAGAACAGGAAAATGTGGAGAGCCATGATCACCAACGTACTAAAGAGACACTGAATGTAGAAGAAAAATGAGCTTGAGTGAATGGATGGAGGAACAAGGTTCAGGCGAGATAACAAAAACAAAATTTATTAAGAGCTACAAAGTAAAGGAAATTGTGGAGAGCCATGACCACCAGCGTCCTGAAGGGACACGGCATTTAGAAGATGAAGAACGAGCTTGTGCAAATGATTGGCAAAACAGGGTTCAGGAGAGATAACAAAAAGACAAAATTTATTAAGGCTTACTGAGGACAGGAAATTGTGGAGAGCCATGATCACCAGCGTCCTGAAGGGACACGGCATTTAGAAGATGAAGACCGAGCTTGTGTAAATGATTGGCAAAACAGGGTTTAGGAGAGATAACAAAAAGATAAAATTTATTAAGGGTTACTGGGGACAGGAAGTTGTGGAGAGCCATGATCGACAACGAACTGAAAACGGCACACGGCACACAGAAGCAAAATCTTGATAAATAATGTGTTACAAACCACTCCAATCTCTCAGTTGCGTCTCTGTGTTTGGGCAGAGTCCATTCAGGGGTGACTCCGTCAAAGGACAAAGTTGCAACTGAGGAAAATTATACTGAGAGGTGGCCAGCCCTGGGTAATAGATTGAAAAAGATATTATAGAAGAATTGCACCAGAGAAAGAGAGATTTGTGCTCACACCGGTTATAGCGCAACCGACCAGCGGAGACTGCGGGCAGTTTTTGTTCCTAGCCCGGGTGTACGCTCTCGGGTTACCACCTTAAAAAAACAACTTGTCTTAGTGGGAAGACAAAGTAAATACTAAGAAGAACAATTTTTCGTGTAATAATGCAGATGGCATTTCTTTAATCTTCAGACAATTCTATAGGGGCCGGAAAGATCGCACTCAGAAACAGAAGGATATTTCCTTAATAGCTCTATAGACACAGAAATATATTACCTGAAAAGCTTCGACAGTACTAAGAAGGCCGCAGATCATACAGCCTGAAATGTAATGTTGAAAACAATAAAGATGAAGATAGTAGTTTGAATATTTAGTGGGTTAATGACAATAGTTCTCTTGAGAATTACATTTGCCAGATGTTTTGTAGTTAGCGATCCTGGTTTCATAAAACACATCAGGAAAGAAACCCAGACGCGTCAGTTACGGCCATCTGCATTCATCTGGAGTGAAGTTAAGCAAAAATAGAACCAAAATCAAAGACATCTGGCACAGTCATCTGCCATCTTTAATCCATTCTTTTGTAACATCATTTTATATATATATATATATATATATATATATATATATATATATATATATATATATATATATAAATATATATATTTATATAAATGTGAGAAAGACATGGACTTTCTGTTTGTCGGCGAATCAAAAACTCGGTATATAAACTTTATTGGAGCACAATAAGTAATAAACTCAAGAGGGACAAAATATCGGGTTCAAATGTAAATGTTTATACCGAAAAAGGTTTCTGTTTTTTGGCTTTATTTTTCTGGGAAAATACATATGGAATCTCTCATTTCCAGGCTTTAGTTTCGACGCTTCACCTCCAGATTCATCTGTTCAGGTCAGCTGCTGATAAAATCTGATCATAGCTTAATTTCTACAGTTCTTTGCGAAAAGGAAACTTATTTCAAACTATTTCCGTCTGCCCACAAAACGTTGTGAATCGTAATTTTAATTCCTAGGCAGCAAGTTCGTTGCTTCAGTCTTAAATTCATATCAACTCTCCCTGTCTATCTCTATGTCTCTGAAATTTCCCTGTTTTTCTTTTCTGTCTCTGTTTCGCCCTGTTTCTCTAGAAATCTCTCTTTCTTTCCCCAAATTAACTTTTTTTACATTTTCTTTTATGTGCCGTATCCCTTCATGACGTAGGTGATTATGGCCCTCCACATCTAAGAAAAAAAAAAGCGCTTAATAAGTTTTTGCCATTGATTATTTCAAAAAAAAAACCCGGTTCTCTTATCTATTTCCTCAAGCTCATCATTTATGTTTCACACTGCTTTTCTAGAATTCCCTCTTACCTTCAAAAAAGAAAAAAGTAAATCAAGAAAGAAAAGCCAAATCTTCCTCATTACAGTTATGCCCGAAGAAATTTCAACTGCCTCTTCCTGATGTTAAATATAACTTTCTGTTTTGTTTCGATTCTCTCCAAAACCTCGTCGTTGCTCACATATTCGGCCCATGGTATCCTTATCATCTTTCTGTAGAACCACATTTATGTTGTTTCAAGTCTCTTCTTCTGTGAGAAGATTGTCCAGTATTCGCTGCCATACAGGAGGACAGAACCAGAAAACTATACAAAGAATTCGCAAGAGGCAACCGTGAAATTGAAAGTCACAGAAAAGACTTTGGTCGTCTCCCATTAGAGATGAGTAATAGAATACCCCATAATTAATGAAGCGTCACTGAAACGCATATCTGAACGAGAAGCTGTTTACCGCGCTCTGATTTGATGAGGATTTAAATAAACATCGAAACATTTGCTTGTGTGTAAGTCATATATTATTTACCTACAAATATGTTTTACAATTTTATTTTATTTTAAATTAAATCAGTCGCAAAATTGGCGCGTATAAGCACGCACATATGGCCTTTTACCTGGGCTCGACACATCGACTACTGGAGGAAAATTTGGAAATGCAAATTAATTTCAGTCACTTTCAAAAATATATATATATATATTTATATATATATATCCAACTATTCAAATGTAATGTCAATAAACATCTCCAGTTGCCTTGATCTATCCACTATCCTGATCTTGCTCCAAATTTTCTGTTATTTTGCGTCAAAGTGGATTCCTGTTTTGCAATTGGGGTGGAAAGCTTAAATATATATATATATATATATATATATATATATATATATATATATATGAGTTGAAGAAAAAATGTAGATCAGAAATGGACGGAATGGAACTGCTTCTTCATTAAATGATTTTATTGGATGATAAAGTAAAAGAAAAGTTTTTAAAAGTAGGAAACGTATTTTAATCTAACATATTAAACTTTTATTACATACACATTCTTACACAATCACACATTTTAACGCGCAAAAAAATGTCCACAAAATATTTATGTTATCTATTGCTTTTTCTAATTGTTATTTATTTTATTTTATATCATATATATATATATATATATATATATATATATATATATAATATTAGTGGTAAATATACACATACATATAAAAAAGTATATAAATATATATACACACATGCAAACGCATACATATATATTTTGTATAAAAAAAATTCCAAGAGGATAGAATCCATTAGAACTCAATGTCCAGGACAAAGTAGGGATATAATAAAAGGCTTAAACACTAATATTCCATGGTCATAATTTATTCCATTGGAATCGTAAATACGATCTAATTCATCAGACCTACAAATTCCTATCGTTTTAAATATATATATATATATATATATATATATATATATATATATATACATATATATATATATATATACGATCCAATTCATCAATTGATAAAAATTCCATATCGTTTTCCCATATATATATATATATATATATATATATTTGTATAATTAGGCAGCAATCCTTCCTTTATGCATGTTTCGTTAAAAACGACAGACAAGGTACTACAGTTGAGCTTTTTATTTAATTTTTCTTACAAAAAACTTTTGTAAATTATATCAAGGAAATATTTTACTACCCAACAGTGAAGACAAATATTTAAATTTATCCAACCATAAATTAACAGATGACCAAAAAGAATTTATAAATTTAGGTCCAAACTGCCACATCCAATCTAAGTTTGACCTTATCACCAAGACAACTGAAATTGAAATTTTATACCAATCACTATCCCAACTTTCCACGCGTGGTGACATAGCAGTACACCCTGACCTGAAAGACTTACTCAAAGCTGAGGGGTTTGAAGAACCGATCCCCGGCACTAACCATAGTAGTATTTTAACACCAAAACAAAAAAAAACGCTGCGAAAGATTTAAAAAACAACGCTGACATTGTCATCATATATATGATAAATCTAACACATATGTTATAGTCAACAAAGCTGATTACCAGCAAAAAAATTAAAAGATATCGTTGATGACCGATCTAAATTCACCAAATTGAAACGAAATCCCACTGAGAATTTAAAAGGTCTGTTAACAAGCTAATAACAGCTCACAACGCGGAAGTCGATTCCCTGAAAATTCAAAAAAATAGTTGAGATTACCAACCGGGATATTTATATGGAAACACACAAAAACACATAAACCAGGATATATATATATATGACCAATTATTTCCCAGATACCAACAAAATATCTACGAGCTATCAAAATTCCTTAACGATATCATCACTCCATACCTACCTACCAATTACAGCATCACCTCCACCCACGAATTCCTACAAATTTTAAAAACTACTAAA